CTGCTGTTAGAATTATTTTTGAAGTGGTGTATTTTCAGCCAGTTTTGAGGAGCTTTCAGATGGGTTAAAGATGTGATTTTGTTTGGTTTTGGTTTTTCCCCACCTTGCTGAATTAACTTTTCATAGTACTGCTCTAGCTGTAGAATAGATGTTGTGGTTCTTTAAAGATAGAGAAGGGAATTTGTGTTATATTGACAATTCCTCTGTGCAGAGAAAGAGTTATCTGAGACCAGAGGAAAATTCCTGAGTATGAATGCTGAAATAGAAGACCTGAAAAAAAAAATTAGCTTAGAAGAACAAGAACACCAAAAACTGCTTCAGAAACATGAGGAGATAGTCTCTCAGCTGCAGCAAGAGAAAGTAAGTACTGACTCTAATCCCAAAGACTGGCACTAAAGGTTCGATTTTGGTGACACATGAGATTGCTATTTCAATAATGGTTTAATCTGTGGATTGTATAAGTGGGTGCCGGCCAGCAGAAACTGTGTGTGGTCCCATAGCTTCTAAGAATTGTAGCTGATATGATGGGTGTTTTTGTTCTTCCTGTAGATTTGACCTTATTCTTGTGCTTTGAAGTTTGAACACTGCCATTTAGCCTTTAATATCTAGAAAAGTGTTGATAGTTTTAAAATCTGTGATACTCTGGAATGCAGGAGTCATCTGCATGTATGCACCAGAAGTTACTAGAGTTTCAAGATGAGGTGACACGTGAGAGACTTCTTCTTGAGGAGGAGCTGAATGATACTATGAATGAGCTGAATAAATTACATGCGAAGGAGAAGAAAGCTGAAAAGTTGGTGAAGAGTTTGGAACAAGAAATAAAATCTCAAGCTCTTGAACTTAAACAGATGGAAGTCAAGTTGAAAGGGTTTGTGAAATAAACTTTTGGATTCTAAAGCTTGGAAAGGAAAAATGTTAAATCAGTAGTATAAACAAAGCTTCAGAGCCTAAATCAGGTTTTAAAGAGATCTGAACAGATCTAAACTTATTTCTTGCTGGTTGTTGACTATTGATAATGATTACATCTGATCACTGTCAATTAATTGAATCAATTTTATATTGTCTTAATTGGAAGTTTACTATTAGTTGTTCAATCTATTCTATAGCTATCTTAGGAAATAAGGGGAGGGGGAAATGCTTAGTGAAATCTGCTGTGAAGATTGTGCTTTAATACTTGAAGCTGTGGCAGAGAAGTTACTGGTTTGTCACAATTGATTTATTGTTGCCACTGCGAGCCTTCTGTAGCTGATAACAGCATCTGGTAATGTGTTCAGGCAGACTTATCTCCAGTGTGGAATGCTTAATTTTTATTTCAGGAAGAATGCTGAGTTGGAGCAAATCAATGAAACGCACAGCAATGCTGTTTTGCAAATCCAAGAAGAGCATAGCAATACATTGTGTAAACTTGAAAAGACTCTTGCGGACTTTGAAAGGTATTTAAGTTTCATTAAGATCTACGATGGGGATTATCTCTAAGATTACAGTAAAATATACTGTTTATTCATGTGCCTTGGTACTTAACACTGTATATGAACGTTGGTACAGTATTAGAGCAGAGGATTTTGTGATGGAGTATTTGATGGCGTTAAGAAATTAATTTCTTCTTTTTGAGTACTAGTCAAATGTAATGACACACTTGGTATCTAGTTCAGGAAACTGAGTATTTCCTCTTCCAAAGTGTAATCAATTAGAATACTCAAGTGCTCTTGAATCTCAATGAGAGTTGTAACTGATGATGGTGTGCTCTTTGCACTAAAATCTCTTGCAGAAAATCTTCTTGTTTAGGCTCAAAACTTGCACTGAATTGAGATTATTTTCCTACAGTTTTTGCAGATCTTTCCTCTCAAAATATTCAGATTGTGGAAGTACTTAAAGCAATACTGTTATTGCTAAGCATGCAAGGCATTCATGAAGGATCCAGTGGGATATTTGCCAATGCAAGATGCAGATAGTAGGTCTTTTGGTGTTTAAAATAAGATTTAGATATAGTAGGTCTTTTCTGTTTTAAAACATCTACCAAAATGTGAAAATACCTGTATCGCAGAATTTGTTGTAGTATTGCTGCTTATGGCCTTATGGAAATGTGTTTGTTCTTTTTAACTTTGGATTTTTCAGTGCCAGAGTACTGCTAATGTCTCAGATTATAAAATCTGTTATACTTGTTAGCATGAGCTTGTATTGCTCTTGTAAGGCCTGAACATGTCAATCTGTATTTTGCCTAAGGTAACAAGATTTTTTTTATATGCGTTGTAATACCAGCTACAAGACGACAATAGCTGAAGAAATATGCGGTCTTAAACTGGAGAACACCACTTGGCAAGAAGAAGTTGCCAACCTAAAAAAAATAGGCCAAGATAATCTACAGCTGCTACAGGAAGCAGAACAAGCTAAACACAAAGCAAGAGAAGAATGTGCAAGGTACTAGACAGATAAACTTTTCCGTAAGCTAAAGAATGCCAACAAAGGCGTGCTGCCTCAACTAGAACTTAACATGGTGCTCTACCAGATAAAAATCGATATTTGGTGTAAGCTTAAATTTCTTCCTTTTCCCAGCGCAGAGGGTTGAAAATATCGGTGGATGAAATTAATTAAGTTTATAAGCATTAGAAAACCAGTCTGTTCAATCAATTGCTTTGACTTTTTCCTTTACGTGGAAAGGGAAAGGAAAAGGAAAATGCCTAACTGAAATATGTTGGAATATTGTCTTTATCAGAAATATCAGTTACAATGACTGCTCCACAAATGAGATCCACAGGGACAGACAAACAAATACTTAAGGCAGAGCTCACCCTTTGCAACTTTACTCTGACTAACCTGTCACCTCAAATTCTGCTTACAAGCAGATGCCAGTTAACCATCTGTGAAATGCCACACTGTGGTGAGGTAAACAAAGGTTCTCTCTCCCTAATGCAAAGCACTGCAGTGCAGCTGGTAAGTAGTAACACTCAAGAAATTGTTGTAGGCCACTACCTGAGGATGTGTTTCTTTGACTCTCTAACAACAGCTTAGTGGTGTCTGTTCTCCTTCCAGCTCACTGTGCAGAGCATGAGAAAGTCCCTTGCTGTGGGACTGACTATTTGAGGAAGTGGGGGTCTTAAAAAGGTCCCGGTGTACCATCACCTGTATTAGGCAACTGTGGCAACTGCCTGTACATGAGCTGCATTACGGAACGTATTGTGCATGTGCTGGAAGACTTCCTTCCCTGCTGCTTTTAATGTAGTTCCTAGCTAGCTTCTGAAGTTGAACCCGGATTTAAATCAACAGCTATGCTCTGATCTTTTTAACTGTTGCATGTGGATAAACCATTTACTAAACTGCATTAAAATAATCTTTTGGCCAAACTGAATCGGGCATTTCTGATCTTCCCAGTGGTATCTCTTTGCTGATTTATAAAATGCGTCTGTAAAGTTTTGCAATGCTTCTCCTGTCTTGTTCACCCATAGCCAGTATATTAAGATTGTCCAAAGGACAATTACTGCTTACCCCAGCTTATTTTATAACACCTGTGCTGCTTAAGATGTGACCCTTTCTTTCCTCCCCACCTGCTTAATATTGCCTCCAGTTTCCATTAGAGCTGGTAAAAGAAAAACAACTGAAGAGTTATTTCCTGTCTAATCTGCTGGTTGCATGTGGTGGGGAAGGGATGCTTATTCTCTGCCTAGGTGATATAACAAACAGCTGAGGTTGAAGGCAATGCTTTTAGGTGTAGAAATTTTGAACCCTTGAGTGCATCCACACTGAACAGTCTTCACTAGTTTCTGCTTGAGCAATCCTCTGCATGCAAAGTCTTACTACTAAAGTGTCTTCCACTAAAAACTGCTGGCATTAAACAGGAATAAATAAGAAAGATATGACCTTCCCTTGCTTCAAAAGCACTCTGTGCTTCCTCATAGGAGAAGTTAAAAATATTGTACATCTTGAACTTGATTGCTTTCTGTATTTTTGTTCTTCTCTTGTAGCACTGTTTGTGCAAACTTTTATTTCAGTTCTTCTGCTAACAGCTTTTATATCTTTGTTACCTGTGTCTTCAGATTTAGAGTAGTGTGAAAAAAATAAAAAATAAAATTTAACGTTTCATTAAGGATGGATGATATTTTCCTCAGGATGCTTTTAGAAGTCCAGACAAAACTTGCGCTAAAAGAAGCAGAAACGGAGAGAATCAAAGAATCTTGCTTTGCAGAAATGATTAAACTTCAGGAAAAACTGGAAGAGCAAACTGAAGATCTCAAAAAGAAACTTGAAGTAGAAAGATCAAGGTGACTTTTCTCAAACTAAACCTGCATAGTACAGCACACTAAGGTTTCAGTGTGAAGAAGTGCTGAGGCTAACAATGAACATAATGAAACTCCACTTTCTGCTTTCTAGGAAAACCGTAAATGAAGATGTGACCTCCAGCTTAAAAGAAGAGATAAAGAGCTGGCGTAATCTATATGAAGATTTACATAACAAAACTAAGCCTTTTCAGGTCTGTTATGAAGTAGATGTTTATTAGTATCTATTGACTTAAGACTTGTGCAGTTGACTCAAGTTCTAATCTTCAGAAGTAAACATGCTGTTTCCCATTCTAAGGCATTTATCCTGCAACGGTTTCCTAATTACTATTCCTTGAGCCAGCTATTCCCCTTCCCAAACCAGTCTGTCTTTGCTGGTTTCAGTTTAGTAAAAACTATGTTTAAATTACAGATTTCTAAACGATTCAATATGTATTTCAGCAACAACTAGATGCATTTGAAGCAGAGAAGAATGCACTCTTAAATGAGCATGGTGCAACCCAAGAGGAACTGACTAAACTAAGTGATGCATATGCTAAACTACTTGGCCACCAGAACCAGAAGCAAAAAATAAAGCATGTTATGAAGTTGAAGGAAGAGAATACCCACCTGAAGCAGGTTTGTGAAATGAAAAATTAGAAACCTATAGGTTTTTTAATTTACTTGATTCCTTTGTTTATTGCTCTAAGTATTTATAGACTGATCCTGCAAACTACTTGCTTTCTATGCTTTCTTAAATTCCCTGCAAGAGCTATGTTAGAACAGGCACTGACCTCTGGGAATGCCAAGAGAATCTGTTTTAGTTTTAAGTGAATATATGATATACAGAGGGATCGCCAGTGCAAATAACTACCCCTACTCTTAGTTTTGTTGGTTTTTCTTAACTTTTGCAGGTTCTAGACTTGTAAACTATTGGCTGAAAGTTTCAGGCTACCATACTGCTTATTATGTAGCAATTATACAGTGGTGCTGGTTTCTCTACACCTGTATGTTTCGTCTTGATTTGTTTAACACCACCAATAATTATGTATGTGTGTGTTTAGCATTAGTCAAAAGGGCTACTTCAGTAAATAAAGCAGGTTTTTCTCCTGTTCTTAATCTAACTTCCAAGTACTATATTTGCTTTAGGATGTCTCAAAGCTGCGTGCATTGCTAGGAAAAGTAAAGCAAAGCAACAGAGATCTTGAGGAGCAACTCTGTGCAATTCAGGGAATTAGGCGTTTTGATCCTTCCAAAGCTTTCCAGCACGACAGCAAGCAAAATGGTCCTCCAGAAACTCCTTTTAAAGAAGGTAAGCTTTGATATTGGTGTAATCACATCCTCGTACCTCTAAAACTTAACCGAAGAAGGTAGGACAGTCTTGCATGGTCTACTGCATTTGGGGAAGGAAGGAGAATGGCATCTCTTGTGTGTTTCACAGCAGATGTTGAAAGGCCGCATCAATGGGGCACTTCCAGTGTAGGGTTTGCTGTTGCGCTTTCCAGCCCCGTTTCTCACAACCTGCCCTGAGCAGGTGGTATGTCAGGTCAGACAACAGGACGTGTGTGGGATAGGGGGGAAGAGGAAGGAGCAGGTTAGAGAATCACTGGTTGGCATGATCTTGCAAGGTGTGAACTGTGCTTTGCTACTGTGTATCACCTACAGTTTTCCTTCTGTCCTTACCCATTACAGCTACCCAGGTCACAGGCTGTGTCTCCTGTGGGGGAGGCAGGGGTACAACTGGCTCAGCCAGAGCTTTGAGCCCTGGTTCTTTAGCTGCTACCTGGCAGGACTTTGTGCTGCTGGAGGTGTGCAGGTGAGATGCAAAAGGCCTGCACGTGAATGTGGAATGGAAGGAAAGCTGGCAAGGACATAGGGGCGCACAAAGGGAAGTGGTGTGGGAGGGTACAGATCTCCTCCAGACCTTCGTTTTACACTATTATCCAGGGTCAGAGATTCTGGCTTGCCTGTTATGTGGAGCGTAGTGCCTTTCTCCCCCCAGCAGACAAGTAATTACTCAATGTGGTGGGAGCAATACTGAAAAACAGAAACTTAGTAACATTCTTCCCTTGCAGGTAATAAAAACAAAATTTAATATCCTCTTGGTATCAAGAAAAATATCATAAATCACCAATCAGTTCATGTACTACAGAAGACTTCAACAGACTACTTGTTCAAGGTGAACTTGGATGCTGTATATAATATAAATTAGTAGGAGTACTAGAGAAATGGTCTTAAATTAATTTTTAGAGAAACAGTGCTTGGTTATGCTCTTACTTAGAAGCCGTAGGTGACTATGTTCCAGATTCCTGGTAACATTGTTGCACTCAAACTCTGAAAAGTGTTCACTGTTTCACTGTTTTTGTGTGCTGAAGCTGCTTAGTTTGTTTTCATTAGGGCAGCTTAGGTTCAGTAAAGGTGAATAAGCCCTGGAGAATAACAATGACAAATAAAATCTGATTTCCTGAAAGATGTTTTTTTGCATTTGTCTCATGTATACAATTTTATCTTAAATTAATTTTGCTGTATATGGTTGCTTCAATACCAATGGCAGGGATGCTGCCAAGAGGCCCTTTTTCTTCTGTGGCCTACATAATATAGAACCAATGTAGGAAATTGGACTGTACAGTCAGTTTTGGTATTCTTAATGGGATCGGTATCCAGGGCATCCTAATTTAAATGCTAGGGCTACATATTGCAGCTGTGGATCCTGAGGATTTTCAGGTCAAACTCTAATTGACTGCATTTACCTAAATGTTTGCATACTGTGACTAAGATTAGTGTCTTAAGAGGAATGTCTATTTTATGAATGCTGTGCTCCCTGGACTCTGAAATTGTCATAATATCTGGGTAGCCAGCTGTTGTAGTTCATCAATGCTAGGTGAGGGGGCATAACAACAGAACTTGTCTTAATTGGGTGGGAGGATACCCACTGTAGAGCATTCATTGTACAGGCTTGAATTTTGGCAAGGTGGAAAGAATCTGTTTAACTGCATCTAAAATTAAGAATGTTTTAGTACAATAAAGAACTTAAATTAAAGAATTTGTCTATTTCCTTCACAAACGAGGGGTAAAAAAAAATCAAATTACATACTGTAATTGACCTAATATTTTTTGTTCTAGCTTTAAATCTTCATAACAAAGCCCAGTGTCAGTCTTGCCTCAAAGACTATGTATTCTCTAATCTTACAGAAATTATTTAGCTGAACTGTACAATACATGCAACCTGCAATTCCCTTATCCTCTAATTTCCTGTGAATTTCTCTTAATACAAAAGTAAATACCGGAGCTTAAGTGAAATGTGTAACTCTGTACTCTTGTTGTATTTGCTAATATCCTGCATATAGATGCTGCAGAGAGACAGTACACAAAGCTTAGCATGCTGAACATATCACCATTCATACTGACACTATAAGCTTACAGAGAATTGATAACACCTAGGAAATAAGATACCCAAAACACACATTAAGTTGAAGGAAAGAAGTTACTTGAATTTCTGAAGGCCAAGGACGAGGATTAACTTCAGGTCTTTGAATCTAGAAATACTTGGTGTTCAATTTAGCAGTTTGCCTGAAGTGTTGAGAGGCATGTTTTAATAAGTAAGTTGCTGAAAGAATTTAATACTAGAGATATCTCTCCTTGTGAAGAAAAAGATAAAAGTTTTGTTGTCTGAAAGACATAAATGGGGTAAAAGAAAATTGTAGAGGAAACGAGCATTAGTCCGACTCGTTTGAGAATGCAGTCTTACCTGAAATCCTGATGTTTCTCAGCCTGTATAGCCACTGGACTGTGGATGTGGTAGGAGCAATTGGTTAAGCCAAACTTGATCTGGTGAGCAGCAGAGGAAAGAGCAAATGGGGTGGTGGTGGTGAAAATCTGTAAACAAGTGATAATGGAAGAAGTTACACTCTACAGCTATTACACTAGAGTTGTTTTTTCTCACAAGATGCCATTAATCTTTCATGCATTGTTGCTGGAACTCTCACACTTTCTGTGCTGTTCTACTCATGGGGATTTTTTAAGGGCAAAATCACTATTCATAAATCAGAATTTCAAAGTCTGAAAAGCCTTCATGCCAAAAAATTAAATACATCCATGTGTTCTTAAAAATGTAAATGAGCCTTTTATTTCAAGAGAGATTAGGGCAAGTGAATGTTAACAGAAGGTTCCACAAAATTCAAAACATGGAAACGAGGACCCTGAGTTAAGGTACATTTTTTTAACTGAACCTCATTTTTGGTGTTTGACATGTCCTGCATCAAGTTAGCAAGGGTTTGTCAAAGGGTGAAAGTATACCAAGTGAAGCAAAATACTGCAGATATCACAGGACTGTGCTTTTATGAGGGCTACATACTCTTTTTTTTTTTTTCATACAGCATTCGTTCTCAAAATTTTCTAGCTTACTTGGCAGTTTTGCCCAAGTGTCATTTTAAATCCTCCTTCGGCTAGCAAGAGCATGCATATATTGACAAAAGAATAGGGAAACTCTAGCAAATAATTATGCTCGCCTTACACAATGTCAATTCTGGGTTTAGCTTTAAAAGATGAACGATGTAGAGCAGACTGGGGAGAAGTAAAGAGTGGAAATAAAGGGGAAATCTTGAGTGCTGTTAGTGTTGGTCTAAGTGGTTTTGCCAGTTTCACGCACATATGAAATGCGTGTTAACTGCAACCTTGATACTGGTAGCTCAACTGACTTAGGTATTCACTGCAGGAATCAATTACTTTCATATTGTGGAACATGCCTTTTTTTTAATTTGAAAAAATAGGTAATTTAACAAGAAATTATTCCTCTGATCATCCATCTCACTGTATTGTAGCAAGATCTGGGTTGTACTTAGCTGAAATGGAAAATGAAAAGCTGCAAGAATCCTCAACCTGGCTGACCTAATTAGAGCCTTCCTCCTGTTTCCTATAAAAGGAAAGCTGCATGAGACTCAGCGCCAGTGCTTTGAATAAATTTTATACACACAATGGCTGCACTTGCTCATGTTGGCAGTTAAGAAGTAGAAATTTAAGTTCATACTGAGCTGCTTAAATGGTACCACTGGGAATAAACCAAAAGCTGAACAGGACTCAGAGCCACACATGATAGAGAGCTTGGATTAGCGTTTTGGTTTCAAAGGTCAACTGAGCTCTTGCTTCTTTCAGTCCATGTGCTCTCTGCAGGCAAAAGCAGACAAAGGGACAAACGCGCAGTTGAACAGCAATAAATTTCCTAGGCTGGTAATTCCTTCTGTAGTTTGAGGCAATGCCCGAAATGCTGGTGGAAATGGAGCAGGTAAGACTCTGGATTATTTGCATTAATAGATTGCTGGCACGCTTTGATTACATAATCTGGGGAAAAGGAAACGGGAGGAGAGAGACTTAATTATGCTTTAGTTTCTGTGAGTTACAGTCTGAAATGTTAATTTAATGAGTGGTGCATTTAGTCATCCCGTGATGCATTATGCTTAAATGACTGATATGGACTATAATAAGATTTATTTTTTTTATCTATTCCATGAAATCAGTCTTTCACAAAGAGAATGTAATGATAAGAAAGAAATTGAAAATATAAGCTAGAATGCTACTGAATTCAATGTAAATATTTGAGAAAAAAAATAGACTGTGTTCTGTTATGAAGATAACAAATTACACATAGTTTTTGTAACTATTTTAATGGTGAGAAGAATGTGAAGATATTTTAAAGGCCAATTTGTTTGTGGTTCTAGCCTGAGACTCCAGTGTTAATGCTTTCCCTATCTTCCTCTTGCTTAAAGCCTGGAAGGTAAAATTTCTATTTCCACATCATCGTTTTTGTTAAGATGTACAGTGAGCTTTCAGTCTGTGTCGGGAGGAAGAGGTGTGACGTTAGATGTGCGTGGAGTTGTTACCTTAGTGCTGCTGAACAGTTCGGTCAGTCAAGTTACGAATTTCTGATATTTTTTTAAACAGATTTCTAAGGTTAATGAGGGAACTAAATGTCCATAGCTTATTACAAGGGAAAATAGGGCACCTGCATGCCAAGAAGGCAGAAACCGGCTGAAGTGGCTTATATATGTATACTTTTTTGTCCTGTCAATGTCAGTTGTTTGGCATGAGTAAAGGTCACTTACAATATGATTCTATTCAGTTTTAGTAAATTTTCTGTTTTTTCTTTAACTGTGTGTTAATTCCTGTAGTATAGCTGGGTTTTTTCCCTTGACGACCAATTAAATACTGTTTTAGTCAAGTCAAGCTGAAATAAGTTTATTGGGTGAAGATGTAAGTGTGAAAGTAGCTAAAAAAGTCTTGACCATTCGTTCTTATGCATCTACTTTGCTTTAGTCCTGTTAAAAACAATGTTAGGCGCACAGTCTTTGCCTTTGGATGGGTCAGAAGTATCACAGTAAAAAGCTTTATATACAGATTCATGTTACTTTAGAAACTCACTTTTGAAAAAATAACCCTTGTCATCTTGTAAGCATAAAGCTATGTATATAGAGTAAGTACTGTAAGCAGCGATTGCTTTCTCAAAGCCCCCCCCTTCTCTGTGGGATTTACCCAGTCACTTTTATATAAAGCTATGGGTAAAGTCAATTTGAAAATGCACCTTATTTTCTACCATTCTAAAAGGAAAATTAGATTATTTCTGTTGAGTATCTGCCAGAGGTGTATTAACAGTATCTCTTAGCAGCCAAATGAGGTATTTTGGTCAAAGGATGAAGTTTCACTTTACTGATGGCAGGATGTGATTCTTCATTTTATACAAACCAAAGATTACAGTTTCCATATGCAAAGTTGGTAACATTAAAACAGAAAGATGCGATTGCTAGAACAACTCCAGTTACTCTTCGGAGCAGCACGGACCCGTTCCGAGGCCGCTGCCCAGCCGGGGCCGAGGGCGG